CCACCACCACCACCACCACACGCACGATCATGGTATTCCTCTCGGTCTGCCTCTCCCTCATCCGTCCCTGCATGTGGCCGGTGGACCTCAAAAAGCCTCTCTGACCCCAACCAAACATGAAAATCCAACTGCCTGAAACAAAACGAGGATGAATCAGTGTGGCTACGATGCCTCCTTGCCCTCAACGCCACTCTCGTCGTAAGGTGCATGACCTTCAGGCTTTCGAGGAAGCGACGGCTACAGGTCGAGATGTTCACCCAACGCGACTGTGCCAAGACCGGAGCAACTGCTACTCTAAACCTTTTATGGGTAGTTCTCTATATTAGGGTCCCTGTTAGGGTCCTGTCTATTTTTGTGCCGTGCTATATTGGGGACCTAAAAAGGGACCCTAATTTGGAGAACTGGCCATATACATGGCCCACATTCACAGCAGAAAACCTATGGAGAGACCGACAGCACTGCGAATTGATTTGGGTGTAACATGTAGGGGCCTTCATAATTGCCAATAGTGTTCTGGGGGTTCCTTAGTATGACTATAACATACCCAAACACCGTACATGCCTCCTACTTTGCAAGGACGAGCCTTTATATTCGGTTTGAGGCTTCACTGTTCTTTAAGGCCCATGCGTCTTCGGGCACCTCCAGGGCGCATTTGCTGCAGGGCTTCTGTCGCCGCTTGTACTTTTCGGCATAAAGGCTCATAAAGGTTTACCATATATGCCTCAACCCGTCGCCCCAAAGCCTGGAGCCTTGCAGCCTGAACCCTGGACCCTAACCTCGAGACCCAATCCCCGCAACTCCTGCAAAGTGGCCCCTGACAGAGCCGTAAACTCTATATACCCTAAACCCTAAACCCTATACTCGACCCAAAGAAGCCTCAATGTCAGAAAGTCCGTGCCTTTGAAGGGGTATCGTCCCTGCGTAGTCACGCACGTATGAGCCTCGGCTGTCTGGCGAGCAGGGATGGTCGGATGTCTGTGTCGGGCTGCTGGGCGCAAGCGGGCTTCGTGCCGTGGGTGACTGGGTCCTCCATTCCCTAACCCTAAGGGTCCATGATACTTTGGCCCCGAAGTACCTGTGTAGGGACTACTTTAAGGCCAAAGTATATACTACTTGGGTACATGGACCCTTAGGGTAAGTGCCCTCCCCCCCCCGCCCCGATCTGTGAGGTCCTGGAAGGGGCTCCTACTATTAGGGGCCACGGTCAGTTCCTTTTTCTGAAACTCCGAAACTGTTCACTGACAGAACTGGACGCTGCGTGGTCAGACTCAGAAACCTGGACGTCCTCAAACTCAATAGATAAAGAAGTCCACGACGCAATTTCTACCTCAACCCGCCTCCCAAACACGGCAAGTTCATTAATGAAACTCTCAAGTCTTAAGGTTGAGGAAATAGGTGTACTCCGAAAACCCGGTTCAAATTCACCCTATACGCGATACGCCATGAAGCTTATGACACCCGTCTGTCGCCATCTTGCCATGTTGCCGGCACTTTGCTGCACTCCATCTTGTCTTCAATCTCGTCACCCTGCGACGAGGGACCCGAACGTGGCGTCTGAACGGACAAGGCAAAGCCCAGCATTCCGATCTGGAACTTCCAGACTGGGTTACTGGCACATCTTAGGCGACACGTTCGCATGTGACTCGCACAGAAACCAGAGCTGTAAAACCGTCAGCCACGATTTACTTAAACCCAAACTGCCACACCTACTACAGCTCCTACACCCTACAGGAAGCCTAAACCATCACCTATTCCCCGCTGCCTGGTCGTAGTGGTGCATCTGCAGGAGAGATCCGGCATCACCGGCCTGAAACGATGACTTCTGGCTCTGCTAGGCTTCTGAAAACAGCTTTATATGAGTGAGTAGGATCAGGTTTGGGGGGTAGTGTAAATGGGTATGATGTATGACAGGAAGTCTGAGGAATAGTAGTGGTAATTGTTATTCGGGCTTCTACCTTTGGGGCTCTATACTGTCATGGTCGATTAATTATAGGGCCTTGGCCACCGTTTTAGCTCGGCTCTCATTGTCCTCAGGCTCTCAAGAAGTTCGTGGCGTATGGTGCTACAACGTAGAGCAAAAAAGACCCTAAACCATAAACCCCCAAAGGGCAGTTGTAAGTTTTATGGGGTGGTGGTAGAAGGGCCGAGCGGGTAGAACAAGACTTTGGAGGTGGATTGTCTTGTTTATTGTATATACAGGCACTAGGGGAATCAAAATACTGGTCATAACATGTACACGCGCCCCTATGCTCGGTGGGGTTTGGGCAAGGCTTTTGATCGGCTTAGGGCTTTAGGGTTTTCGGGGTTTGGGATCTTGAATAGGAAGCTCTCGGCCATGGCTGTTTGGGATTCAAAAGTTGGGGTTCTGACGGTCTGGACTTTGAGGGCTTAGGCTTTGTATTCGTCGTTTGAAGATTACTGAGACCCCACTTACAGGCGGTGCCTGGCAGGGTCTGATGCTGACATCTCAATAATGACAATAGGGTTTGGTATACGCCACACGCCCCGGCATGCCTGGCAACTGCTACTTCGCGCTGAGCCGAAGGCCAAGGAGGCCAACAGAACCTCAACGGATGAACGGTTCCGTTTGAGGGCCTTAGGTTAGGGTTTAAGGTTTAGGATGGTTTAGGGCTGCGGCTTTGGGCTTAGAGTTTAGGGTTTCTACAAAGGCTCGTATTAATAAGGATTCTTTGAGGGTTCCATGGAAGGTTCTAGCTGTTCTAGCTTCTAGACGGGGTAGCCCTTAGGGGTTTGGGGTTTGGAAGTCACCGCAGACCTTGACACCAGGCGAGGCAGGGAGAAAGAGTACTGCTTCCTGCCTCAACCTCCAAATCTCTGGCAATCAAACCCGACCCCAGACTACAGCAGGTGCCAGAAAGCTGCAACATCGATATCCTCATGCAATAACACTAAGGATCTGAATTCATGTTCCAACTTTCAGAGGTTATCTGGTAAGCCCGGCATCCAGGAGCTAAAGATCAGTGCAGCGATGGCCTGTGGCTTCAGGGCATGGGACCTCTAGACCTCGCATTGGCACTCCGGGCATACGTTCTACCTGCCGCGACACAAAACAGCCCGAGACATGCCGTAATCTATCCCTATACCCTACCTGCAAACCCTAACCTCGAAACCCTAAACCCTAAACCCTATATACCTGATCATAAAACCAAATCTGGGATCAAGCAGTCTTTGCCTTGAAGCACGAAGCCAAAATCACGAACATCCAGATAGAAGGAAGGATGGGCCGGAGAGCACCCTTTGGATGACGCGCTGAGCTCCGAAATGCAGCTATGCTGCTCTTCGCCAAGCGCCCTGACGAACCATCGTTCGAAACCACTTTTCGTGGAAACGACGTGAATCGATTCGGTCTCTGACACGTTTCTTGGGGCATGTGCAGCGAGCCGAAAATCACGGAAAAATCCAGCATTTCCCTAAGCCTATACCCTACCCGTGGATACAATATCCTACTCACTGTATAAGCGTTGTCGCTCGTACTGATGGGCCCCAGGGACAACTGCCTTGTAGGGTTTACAAGTAAACCCTGAACCCTCAACAGGGGGGGGTTGTGCACGCGAAGTTGAGGTTGGCTTCACGGTTTCGACTCACACACTCGCACAAAGCTGGCATGGCAAGAGAAGGTCCCGAGCTTCACGGGTTAGGGTTTTGGGTTTAGGGTTTAGGGTCTCTGTCTTCCAATAGAAGCAGCGACCAACGAACACCAGGGCTGCTCAAGAAGCCATCCTGAAACCGTGAAGCTTCGACATCCTAGACCCGGTAAGCCATCACCGGAGCGCAGAAAATCCTTAAAGTCGCATAAAGCTTCTTGTAACCTATACAACCCCCTTGGCTCTTGGGGTACGTGGTGAGGATCCCTTTTGTGTTCGAAAGAGGCCCAAACCAGGCACGAGACTGACGGGCTTAGGAATATTCATGTGGTAGCCGAAGGAGTGCAAAGAAGGCCTCTATTCAATTGTATAGGGCCAAGAATTGTGGCTAATCGTGCCGTAATGGGAACGATGCCGTCGGTGCTCTTTCATAAGCTGATCTGAAATGACTCTGATGTTGGGACCTTCATAATTACAGTAGGGCTTTGGGGGTATGTTATACTATAATACTTAATAAAAAAACACCTGGAGAAACCTCTCGGAGGGGGTTTGGGGCGCCGGTCCTTCATGGTTTTGGTTCAGGAGTTCGGATACTCAGATGGGGGTTTCCAAAAATTTGGGACCCTAATATAGTACCCTAAATAGTGGGATCCTTATTATAGGGACCCCAAAATAAGGTACCCCTTGTTTTCGGAAACTCCCAGATGCCGTCAGGGTTGCTTGAGGGTTCTGGTACATTTGGGTTGTCGAGCATGCCAAGGACTTTGAGGCGTACATAAGTGCTTGAATCGAAGAGCCCCTAAACCCCTAAACTCTGCCCATAGGGCCCATAGTAGTTCCTTTTGTGGGATTACCTTATAGGATTCTAAATATATGAACCCAAAAAAAGGAACTACTATGGGGCCTATGGGTAAACCTCTCTCTCTCTCTACCCTAAACCCTAAACCAAAGCCCTAAACTCAAACTCTAAACCCTAAACCAAAGCCCTAAACCCTAAACCTCTCTCGCTCTCAAACCCTATAAACCCTAAACCCTAAACCAAAGCCCTAAACCCTAAACTCTAAACCCTAAACCTCTCTCTCTCTCTCTCGGAAGTCGGAGCTCGCCAGATTTCATCACCAGCCCGCGAGGTGTCGGATGCCGCTTGGCGGCCCTGCAACACGCTGAAATCAACGACTCCTGCACTTTCCGAGGTAACGTAGGGGCCTGAAGAATTAGAATAGGGCTCCTTTAAACGGATCCTTGGAGGGTTACTATAAAGGTTACCATGAGGGTTTCATAATGTAGGGGCCTTCATAATTACAATAGGGTTTTGGGGCTCATTATACTAGAAGTAGCATAATAGGGTTTAGGGTTTAGGATTCGTGCTAATCGTCCGGGCATGTATACATGTGTATACTTAAACCCCCGCCCCTAAACCTCAGATATGGACATAAACAAACACGTGTAGGCACGCGGCTGGATGAGGACAACCACAAAAGATTCACCATGGAAATGCATCTGGCATCCTATTATAAGTCCTACAATCCCTTGTTGTTGCGATGTAAACGTAGGGGCCTTAAGAATTAGAATAGGGCTCCTTTGAAGGGATCCCTTTAAGCTAAAGGGTTGCTATAAAGGTTAACATAAGGGTTCTATAATGTAGGGGCCTTAATAATTAGAATAGATCCCTTATGGGCCCTAAAAGCCCTGGCTCGAAAAGGTCGACAATTCTCGATCCTCGGAGACCTACCTGGCTGTATCCCGGAGGATCCAGGTACCTGAACTCTGAAGCTGAGGGAAAGCCTCAAGATGTAGATTTCAGGAGTTTAGGGTCAGGGTTCAGGAGTTCAGGATTCTGGTCATTTTTGGGGGCTTGGGGATGAGAGCTTAGGGTGCGGGTGCGTCCGCCACAAAAAGGATTTCCGTCAGAGTACACTTGCTGTTCATTTCTCCAGAAAGGGACGTCCGCCAAACACTCCAGGGGAGCGTCGGGTCCGGCTATGGTTTTTACCGTATGGTCATGCAGTCTCTGAGGGACCCAGTTCTCAAAGAAAGGGTGCTGGTTATCTACTCTGCAATGCAGTGACGGTGGGGTCGCAAGCTGCTTATCAGTGAGGGCTCGGGGCTTGACCTTCTCAGGAACCTGTCTCTAGTGCCGCAGTCTCTACTGCGGGTGGATGCTTTCACCAGGATTCTCCGGGAATCTTAAAATTCTCTAGGCTGAGGTATCCGAGCTGTCTCAACAGCCACTGGTTGTCCCCAGCTAGACATGTTCTGACTCGACTGCTGCATGGCAGATGTGCCAAGACCGATGCCATGATCACTCACTTCTTTAGGGTTTAGGGCTTAGGCGTCTTGAAACCTATAGGAACTAAAGGTTGCCCTTCGGCATCATCGGGACTATACTACTCCGACAGGGTTAACGGTTCCCTACTCTACCACTAGGATCAGTAGCACACCATATCTGGTAGAACTTAGCCTGCGAAGTCAAGGACGTCTAGCAGTCTAGCACATTCAACTGATGTGTGGAGGCGCACGGGAGGATGAAGCTAAATCCAGCAGCGATTGAGACGGAGATCGTGGCGGGTAGGCAGGGTACATGTACGAAGCTTGTTGCCGTTGCCATCCCGCCCAAAAAAAATGTCTTGCCAAACCCGTGTACAAAGTAGCTAAGCTGCAGTGCAACAAGCTTTGTACATGCACCCNNCCCCCCCCCCCCCCTACCCGCCACGATCTCCTTCTCAATCGCTGGCAGTCGGTGTGTGTAGATTTATTGCGAAACCCTGTCTTCCGCTCCGAAACACCCACGAACAGCTAGACCAGTAACACCCCTGCTTTCTATGCAGTAATGAGCGAGCCACCAAGACCCCAACTAAATCCGTTTCGCTGCCCTCGACCGCAATCTATGAATGCGCGTGGCGCTGGTCCTATATACCTTCGCTGCTGTATTAAGCTAGTCTTGGGCTTCTGAGTTCTATTTTCCGTAGGCTCGAAAGCGTTGCTTGATCACCTGTCATGCTTGGCTTTCGCCGCCTTCCTCTCTTCAATGCACTTCTCGAGCTTGGCCCTCAGTGAAGGCTGTGTCTTTGTCGTCGTTTCGGTTTACTCCACACACCCCAGACCATGAACCTCACTATCTTTTCTGTCAGGGTGCTCTTGCAGGCGCTGGGAGTAGTTGCAGTAGAACCCTGATACTGCGCTGGAAAGGGGATACCGTCAGCAGATTGCAACAGACCGCGTGTCCTGAACTGAATCTGTTCAAGCTGTTGTGCGCTCCTTCTTGACAGTCGATTTCGATGCACCGAGACACACCTGTTCAAGAACGGCCCAGCAAGCCCTAAACCTTCAGCCCCAAACC